TGCTTTCTGGTGATGTAGAGATGATCAGCGAAACACAGCATATTATATTAGATGACCAATCAGAGCCTCTTGAGGGCAAGTCTTTCGGAGGAAGTAGGAAATATGACGTTTTCATGTTAGCTGAGTAGCTGTATATAATCAAAATAGGATATATGAATAAAATAATGGGATTCTCTACAAATGAAGCATGAGCACACGTTGCTTTGCATCTTATAAACACAACCAAGCCTTAAAACTACACTCTTAACCACCCCTTTAAATCGGACGGATCTCACATTCAAATTAGAACATTTCAGCACAAAAACAAGAGTAAATGCTGCATTAACCCACTGGGGCTGTTTATGTAGCAGTCAAAATGACTATTATTGATTTCAATGAAATTAATGTACGTTAACACTTTAGAATAATGGTCTGTTAGTTCATTTATTTACAAGCATTACATTTACATGTAGTCGTTTAGCAGAAGCTTTTGTCCAAAGCGACTTACAATTGAGGAGATATTCAGCGATTTAACAAGAAGAGGCAATACACACAATATGTGCTATTCAAAGTAACTTGTTTGTGCACAGAGAATTTAGTGCTAGAGTAGATTTAATTTATTTATTTATTTATTTTTGAGAAAGAGAGGGAGAGAGAAAGTGCTTCTATATGTGAATCTGGTATTACTCACCGGGTTTCAGGTGTTCTCAGAAGAAATGGTTTTTAATTGTTGTTTGAAAGACACCAGCGTATCTGCAGTCCGAGTAGGAATGGGAAGATTATTCCACCAGCAAGGAACATTAAATGAAAAGGTTCTGGAAAGTAATTTATAACCTCTCTGCAATGGCATTAACTATGTATACAATTAAAATTATTTTATTTTTTTTACCTTTAATGGATAGGACATTACAGAGTACTGATAGGAAACCATGGTGAGCAGAGAGCAGGTAAGGATCGGCATAGGATCACGAGGTGGGAATCAAACTCAGGTCACCGTGAGCACCAGAGTGCATGTGTCGACGCAGTAACCACAACAACTACTATGTATATTCTATGTATATTCAGCATTTATTAATCATAATTTAAAATGAACTAATGCATAATTAAAATCATAAGTTGTGCTTTTATAACATTAGTTATTGCACTGAGTTATCTCTATTTAAGTTAATACACAATAACTAACATTACTGAATATGAATAAACACTGTAATAAATGTATTACTAATTGTTTATGTTAGTAAATACATTAACCAGTATTTTAAAACCTTACCAAATGTACTATACATCCATTTATGAATCTGTAAACACTTCTTGGGCACTTACTTTTCAACTGATTGAAATATGATAGACTTTGGATGAAGCAGACAAAATTTATTGTAAGGAAAATTCACAAAAATATCATTTCAAATTTGATTTATATATTTTCCAAAACATAATAATACAATAAAAAGCAAAGCCACAGAGCCACACATTTACAAAGTTTCAAATCTAGGGTTGATATCTCAACAATAAACAACAAAAAAGTATGACTTTGTACAAAATCTTCAGTAAGAGGCACGGTACTAAATATTTCCACCAAATTAAATTACATTCCATTTGATTCCATTACAATAAACCCATATTTAGTTTTTCTTTTTTTTTGGACCCTTAAACCTTTTCAAATTATGTCAATATTTGAGTCTCATACCAGGTTCAGATTAAGAAATGAAATTGTGGCTGTTTGTAAGAATACCAGGATTATTAAAGTTTACTACAACTAAAAAGATTTTTTAAAGCAAATTAAATCAAAACATTACATTTAGATTAACTTGATTTACTAAAACTACTAAACTTGAAGGGATAGTTCACCAAAAAATAAATGTTCTGTTTATTCACACTTCACTTGTCACAAACCTGTTTGAGTTTCTTTTTAGTTAGTAAAAAAAATATTAGAAACATGAAAAATAAATTATATATATATACATATATACATATATACATATATATATATATATATATATATATATATATATATATATATATGTATGTGTGTGTGTGTGTGTGTGTGTGTGTGTGCACCTAATAATCCTTTTATTATGCCTCATGGTATGTATTATTATCTGCTTTTATTTTTGCTTACAGTTATATTTGTTAAATACTTTCTTCCCACAATAATATTGCTTTAATATGAGATTAATTCCCCATTTATGTGTAGTTAATGAGACCTTTAGCCAGGACAGATTACTGTGCATAGTTTTAGATACATGAAAATAATTATTTTTTAAACTTACATTTTTTTTTAAAGAAAAGTTTTTAAAATTTGTGTCTAAGAAATAATTAATTATTTTTGGTGTGGTCAGAGATCAATTTGGAAAATACTTAATTTTGAGCTCTGAAAAGTCATGTGAAACAAAAACTAATTGCAATGCGACACAACCCATTTGCTTATGCACATTGAGCGAGCTCATACACAACACACAAAAAGTGCAATGAATAAGGGGCATGTGGACATAACACAACATCTAAATCAAGTCATTTTAGCATGTCAAAGGCAAATTTCTGTATAGAAAATTCTTTTTTTCCAAACAACAAAAGCGTGGCTAGTGAAAATGCAGACTGGCTAGTATTGTTTAGTATTGTTGGAAATCTACTAGTCGCAGTGGCTGGTGATCCAAGAAGTTAATGTCAAGCCATGACTATATGATTAAACACAAAATAACCTGAGCAAACTAATTATGTTTTAAAATGGTGGAATGTAGTCAACGTTTTTGAGAAATAGGCTCATTTTACAAGGTTAAACAGTTGAGTTTTAGCATTTTAGCCAATCTATTCAGCACTTTTAGCTTAGGTTATCATAAATCATTGAATTGGATTAGACCATTAGCTTTAGATTTAAAAAAATAAAATACAAAATAACTATATAAACATTGAAAACTGTAATATTTTTAAATACTTTTTCAAACATATGAATTATATAAATTGGTGCGATAAGAAAACTATTAAACATCCGACATTTTGTGAGATTTATCCAAAAACGATTTCCACATGACATATAGACAACAAAAACAAACCAATCTATTGAACAGACTGCTGAAGATGAAACCTAACCCTAAACTACATACAATGACCGACGTGCTGTTATGCACAAGAAGAGGAAATATACGCTCACTGCACGGCAGGCTACTTTAATGCAGTTCCCATCATGCAATCCACCATTAATAGAGCCAGTCATTTGCTCTTTCTGGTGCAGAGATGCTTGTGTCACAAAGAGGCCACTCAATCACTTGGAGAGCAGCAAGCCCAAAACCTGAGAGGCTCTGGCTTTGACAGCCATTGTGGCCCAAATAACAAGAGCAGCTCCAATATAAGCTCTCCAGCACAATTGCCTCTTTAGTAAGCAGAAAATTCCATGCTCAGCCAACCGGTTCAGGTTCAGGCGCTCAGCTTTATGAGCTGGAAATCCAATTGAGATTAAAAGCGAGCTGGTTAATTATATGCCGGTATTAAACGCAAAATAACCTGAATTATAACAAAGAATTATGTTTTAAAATGGTGCAATGATTTCCATGTTTTTGAAAAAAATAAATTAATAAAAATTGGCTAATTTGACAAGGTTATACAGTTAAGTTTCAGCATTTTCCCCCAATATATTCAAATATCACTTTTAGCTTAGCTTAGCATAAATCATTGAATCGGATTAGACCATTATCATCTCGCTCAAATAATAATAAAAAAAGTGTTTTGATCATTTTTTCTAGTTAAAGCTTGACTCTTCTGTAGTTATATTGTGTACTTAGACCGATGGAAATTTTATGATATGCAATGATAATACATAGCACCTGAAAATAGTCCCCTCAATCTATTCAGACAATCCCCAGGTCAGGCAGGAGCACTTTTAGTATAGCTTAGCATAAATAATTGAATCAGATTAGACCATTAGCATCTCGCTCAAAAAAATAAAAATAAATGAAAGTGTTTTGATCATTTTCCTAATTAAAGCTTGACTCTTCTGTACTTATATTGTGTAGTAAGATCGAGAGGAAAGTTGTAATGATATGCAATCATATTACGTAGCACTTGAAAATAGTCCCCTCAATCTTTTTAGACAATCTCAGAGTCTGACAGGAGCACTTTTAGCTTAGCTTAGCATAAATAATTGAATCAGATTAGACCATTAGCGTCTCACCCAAATAATAAAACAAAACTGTGCTTAATAATTTTCCTATTTAAAGATTGACTCTTCTGTAGTTACATCGTGTACTAAGACCAATGGAGAATGAAAAGTTGTTATGACAGGCAATGATGTTACACAGCACTTGAAAATAGTCCCCTCAATCTATTTAGACAATCTCCGGGTCTGGCAGAAACACTTTTAGCTTAGCATAAATCATTGAATCAGATTAGACCATTAGCATATCGCTCAATTGTTTTTTCAAAACAGAGGTTTAATCATTTACCAGTTTAAAGCTTGACTCTTCTTTAGTTACATTATGTACTAAGCCTGATGGAAAATGAAATGTTGCTATATTACAGAGCTACCCAGCTAGATGACTAAGTAACAGTGATGCGTGATATCGAATCGATATCGATATTGAACTTTTATTTTCCATCTGTCTTGGAACTACAGAACAGTAAAGCTTTATATAGGAAAAATCATTAAAACATTTACGGTTTTTTTGAACAATGGTCTAATCTGATTCAAGGATTTATGCTAAGCTAAGCTAAAAGTGCTTCCGTCAGACTCAGAGATCGACTAAATGGATTCAGAAATGGTAAAACTCAACTTTTTTTTTTACTCAGCCTATTTCCAAAAAAGAACTTTTAGCTTAGCTTAGCATAAATCATTGAATCAGATTAGACCATTAGCATCTTACTTAAAGATGAGTCAAGCCCTATATAGGGAAAACCATCAAAACTCTTCAAATCTTTTTTTTTTTAGCAATATGCTAATGGTCTAATCTGATTTAATGATTTATGCAAAGCTAAGCTAAAAGAGCATATTTCCGAAATAAAGGGTAAAATGAAAAGAACAGATACGCAAGTCCCCTTAAACATTTTATTTCAGAAAGAATCCAACAAGTATTAATTTGGTTATTCATAAGATTCATTCATCACCATTTGTAGCTCTGTGTTACAATTCCCAGTGTAGCCTGACACACACAGCCAACGTGAGGCTTCCACAGGGATCCTCTGTTCCTTGTCTCTTGACCGCCGTGGCTTTGTTCAGGTCACGCTGGCTGCATTAAACACTTCTTGGCACTTTGGTGGCTCTGGCTCTCCAGTTTCCCTGTGTGAGAGAGTGGGGAGGGGCGAGGTTAATGGTGATTCAAGTCCCAGTGACCTTTTCAAAGCTCCCTGTCAAACAACGAAAAGCCGCCCTGCTGAGATGAGGGCTGGAATCAGGAAGAGGGAATTTATGAATCTGTTTACGCACACATTCACACTTCCAACACCGTTTTCACACTCTCTCTCTCCTCATACATAGAGGCCGCAGGGCTGTAAATGTCACACTAGCACACGATTACTCAGGGACAGGTTTAAATCTAGATTAAGTATTCACAGAATTGTTCATCTGTTACACACGTGAGGAGAAGGGAATTCTCAGAATAGTGATTCACTAGAATTTTGCCATTATAATTCAGAAAACAGTTCTAAGAGCTCAAATTTTCTTCTGAGAATGCATAGCACTCCTTTAATGTTATATGTTTGTTGAGATGTTGAGACAGTGTGACAAATTCACAACCTAAACAAAGTAGTGTAATTAATACAACAACACTGTACAACCTTTTTATTGTATTTTTGCGGTAACTTACTGGCACCACTGTTGTCAGGAAGTTACCGCAACTGTTCCCAAACAGTAACTTACTTTGTTCAGTAAAATAGCCTTATCACAACTTCATTTTACAGTAAAATAGCCTTTCTGCAATTTTATTTTACAGTAAAATAGCCTTATCACAATTTAATTTTACAGTAAAATAGCCTTATCACAATTTCATTTTACGGTAAAATAGCTTTTCTGCAATTTCATTTTACAGTAAAATAGCCTTTCCGCAATTTCATTTTACAGTAAAATAGCTTATCTGTAATTTAATTTTACAGTAAAATAGCCTTTTCACAATTTCATTTTACAGTAAAATAGCCTTTCTGCAATTTTATTTTACAGTAAAATAGCATTGTTGTAATTTCATTTTACATTAAAATAGCCCTACCGCAATACAATTTTACAGTAAAATAGCCTTTCCGCAATTTAATTTTATAGTAAAACAGCCTTTTCGTAATTTAATTTTACAGTAAAATAGCTTTACGGCATTACAATTTTACAGTAAAACAGCCTTACCGCAATTTCATTTTACAGTAAAATAGCCTTACTGCAATACAATTTTACACTACAATAGCCTTACCGCAATACAATTTTACTCTACAATAGCCTTACCACAATACAATTTTATAGCAAAATGGCCTTTTAATTTTAATATTTTTTAAAATTACAATTTAATTTTACGGTAAAACAGCCTTTTCGCAACTTAATGTTAAAATAAAGAATGTATGTGGTATTTTACTTTGATTTTTGCAGTAAACAACTGTCTAACAGTGTACAATACAAATAACTTAACACTAAATGGGTAACATTTACATGTCCCAATCATTCACTTTTAATAAAACCATGTTTTTACAACCCCTTCATGTCAAATACTGTTGCGATAAAACCACATGTGAACCTCATGTGACCCCCATGTGTAAGGACATGCCCCCAAACACCAGTAAGTAGTTTTTTTGTGTTTAAAAGAAATCCAGTAGACATCTAAACATAGATACCTTTGCCAAAACAAGGCCACATTTGGACTATTGTTGTCTATTAGCTTGTCACTGTTGGACAAAATGTATAATTCTTTCAGCCAAAAGTCCATTTTTAAATGTCTACTAGATGTATTTTAAACACAAAGATTATTTGATGGGACACGTCAACCTAAAATATTTTTTTTTGAAGAAATCAGATGTTGAATGTGCTCAAAATACATAATCAACAGATGTAAATGGAAATGTGTCTCAGTCACCTACATGTAATCTAAATGGACAAACTCAATTATGTCCAATATTTATGTCAACGTGCTCGACTTGATGAGCATTCAATTGGTTATAGAAAATCTACATTTGTTAAATGTAAGCATTCGGGAAATGATGTATTGTAGATGTAATCTTCTCTGTGTGCTTTATGGATTGCCTTAAAGTGAAAACATCCTTTTTCTGCTGTTTTTAAAATTAATCAAACAACAAAAGATAATGAAATGTTTACTGAACAGCTGCTGTAACTTCAATAATTTGTTAACCTTTATTTATTTTATTCAGTGAAGTTTATTTACAATACACAGTTATATTTGATTATATTATTCAGTTTCTGTACCTGAAAAGTACAATTTAATGATTTGTTGTTTTTGTTGAAATGACAATGATTATAATTTAAAATAAAAGTACAAATTATGAAAGAAATTGTGTGCACACTCATGTAGTCTAAATGTGTATTTAATTACATACCCAAGTAAGTTTCAGTTACCAGCCTTAATATTGTTATGAGTTTCATATCTGGAAAACATTTTTTTATCAAGTATTGATTATCACATAAATAAAAACCAAATAAAAAAGCCAAACTGACTGCAAACATATGTAAAACTTTTCTTTTGCACAACTCGTGTTTGGATTTTTGTAGATTTTTTATTATTCCTACTAATTTCATCAGGCTCTACACCGCTTTTGCGACAACACTCAGTGTAAATACACCACAATTGTAGGTCGCTTTTTTGCAAAAGCATCTGTTAAATTACTAAATGTGATGTAAATGAATACATAACCCCAAACGACCTGTAAGGGAAACACTATGGTCTCTGCCTATGCATCAGACACCTTAAAAACACTTCATATTTAAGGAAAACATGAATTTCTGAAGGCCCCGGTTTACTCATTGATCCATTCATTTTCCTTCATATCAGTCCATTATTTATCTGGGGTCGCCACAGCAAAATGAACCGCCGACTATTCCGGCATATGTTTTACACAGCGGATGCCCTTCCAGCCACAAACCATTACTGGGAAACACCCATAAACTCATTAAAACACACGCAGGCATGCACACACACAAACTCTTACACTAAGGCCAATTTAGTTTATTCAATTGCCTTATAGTGCAGGTCTTTGGACTGTCATCTTAAAAAAACTGAAATGACACCATTTTAAACAAAGTCTGGCCAAAAATAAATTCTTTTTGAATAAATTTGGCATCTCGAAATATTTAGGGTGGATTGAAAACCTTTGAGCTACCATTGGTCCTTTGCGTTTATGCAATTGGTAGGTGTGCTATGTAACTGCCTTGTTTGGCGTGCATTTACTTCCACCACTTTCGTTTTCATTACACAGAGGTCAAACAGAAGAAGAACAACAACAACATCAACATGAACAAACTACAGAGTCAAGTAGCACAGCTTTTATTTACGGAGCTTTTCTGGAAATTTTCTCTCAGAGCCGCCATTGTTGTGTTTAGTAGACTGGTACACACAAGCAACGTGATGCATTTCCACCTCCTAAAGGAGTTCAGGGGTATCTAAATGTTTGAAAACAGTATACAGTCACTCAGCCTTTTGAAAATTTCTTTTTTACTCTCAAATGAAGAACTAAAATGTTTGTTGTTCCATTTTGCCTTTAGTGTGCTTCACACAGGTGAGTGGGCTTGACAAATTACCTGTAGGACACACGCTTTCCTCTCCATACGCACCAGACACTTTCTTCCAAACTTTTAATTAACAAGAACTCAATAGTGATACTATTAAAAACTGCTAAACTAGCGTGGACTTGTCATCTACATATTTCTGCTCTCTGATAATTGGAAGAGCTTAATTTATCCACATTGTGGTTTTGGATTGAAGCATCTGCTAAACAAATATGCGTAAATGTTACGTGGCTTGTAAGTGAACAGCAAAGCAAGCAAGGAAAAGTTCAACTTGAACCATGGATCTACGTGATCTTTGTGGCTAATTTGAAGGAAATCGGCTCAAGTTTACACACACACATTTTTAAAATTGAATTTACTAATTTTTAAGTGGTTGTAAACAATGAGTATGGGCGAAATTTAAACAAACAAATTAGGTTGAACATTGCTAAACTTAATTAGTTTGTTTTAATTCTGCCCATATAAATTGTTTGCAAGCACTTAACTTAAAAAAAAAAAAAGTGAATATAAAGAATAATTATTTACAGTGTAAAACTACCTCTGGATGTGGTTGAAAGTAAAAGCTCGAAGCATTTTATACCCTATTTACACCTGTATTTGGTGGTATTTAACCAGGTGTATAGTAAATGGCCTTGTGAAATGTAGCCAAAATGATTCACAAACAACACAAAAACCGAGAGATAAAGAGACCCCGGAGCAGGCTAATTATTCACCAGACTGCAGATGCTAACTAAACATTCTTCATGTTGACTTATTTACCCGTGTTGGAATATACAGGAGTAATGTCCCATTTTGGCCAAGAAGAGGAAAATATATGCTTATATATGATCAACGCACTGCAATGCAAAGTATCTCCATATTTCTCCCATCCAAATGGAGTTTAATGCATTCTGTTAATCTTGTAAGGGTATACATGTGTAATAAAGATGTTTTATTGATGTTGCAGCAGTTTTCTGGCATCTTCTCTCAGAGGTGGTATGAATCATGCCCTCAATAAGGAAGTGGAAAAAGGGCTGTGGGTTTGTTTTCAATTATGCGTTTCAATTCCACAACCCGATGTTCTTTTAAAGCCTCCCTATTATGCTGCATAAGAGGTTCCTAATTTTGTTTTAGAGGTCTCCCAAGAGTCTGCATTCATCCAAGGTATAATATAATTATATAATAATTTTTTTTTACAGAAACACCTCACAAAAAAAAAAAAAAAAAAAAATTACAGTGGCAGATAAAGTATCTGAAATGGTTGGTTCAAGGCTCTGGTTTCTCTTAAATCTACATTTTCTAGAACCTACTATGCGCCGATTGGTCAGATAGCCCAGTCAGTCATTCATAAGCATGTGTTGGAACAAAATGCTCATTATCATTTTTGTTCATTCCAGTGCTAAAAAACAAAAAATATTAATGTTAAAGTCACAATATGCATGATTTTTTATTTAAAGGTATATGTTATATATTTTGTGTTACATATTTTGCTGACGTATGTACTTGCACTAAAAAAAATGACTGTAATTTTAACAGTGAAAAAAACTGTAAAAATGCAACAGTAAAAATCCGTAACCTGGTTAACAGAC